CAGACTGTTGATTTGTTGTTCCAGAAGCGTTGCATCCGACAAAACTTCGATAACAAGGAAGCAAGCAGAAATCTGGACAGGGCCGCGAATGCTGAACCCTGTGACCTTCAATTCGTTGTCTGCTTGGCGCTGACATAGCCACCACCTCGAGGCATGAACAAAATGTCCAGGCATCTGTGGGTCTGCTGCTTGTGGCCCCTACGACGCACCCTCAAACGGGGACGGCCTCGAGATGAACAGGAGGAATCTGTAAACTTTGTGCGTGAACTGCAGTGTAAGTTCTCAATTCCCAAGCCGGGGTCAGGACGGCAAGTTTTTTTGGCTCTTTCGACACTCGTTGATCAGTACATCTTACCATGATCTGGTGCACTGCCCTGTCGCGTGTCTCGATTCGAAGTGTCCTTGATTGGGCGGCGAAGTTTCGGGCCGCTCGCATCGGATCCCTCCGAACAGGACATTCTCTTTGCCTTCCTCTGCCTGCAATCGGAGCACGAGGAGAGGACTTTGGCATCCTGCTGACGTTACTTTCAACGCTTCAACGGAGCACGAGGAGATGCACTGGATGGGCATCGGCTGCCTTGTGTGGCTGGTGGCCATCCACGTATTCTGTTTTCGGTGGGAGGACTGCAAGACGCGTCGAAAGCTTCTGATATTTGATGCAGGTTTGGTTCCAGGAGTTACTATTGCATGCCTATGGCTCCTTCCTGTGCACTCCAGTACTTGTTGGTCGAAGCGGCAAGCTGCAAATTCCAGGGGCGGCGAAAGTCCGGACAGGATACCGTTGCGGAGCTTCTTGCCTCGCACCTGGCTGTTCTGCTGCTCACTCCAGACACAGGCCTCGCACTCCTCGCGCTTCGCTTCCGTTTTGGCGAGGGCTGTTCTGCTCGGTTTCGAGATTCATTCTTTGAAGGAGACAAAGTGGCCCTCTGGGACGAGATCCTTGTGCTGTTGTACAAGCAACTCACCCCCACGAAGAGGCCATTGCCGTTAGCCGTTTTGGGGGGTTGTAGGATGCATTGTTCCGCAGTCGCCCGGTGTCCCGACCAGCTCTTACCCTGCGATGTTCTCCACCGCTTTTGCTTGCGAGGTTCCTCCTGCTTCTGGAGAACATCCCGCAGGGGATCTGTGCAATCATCTTCTTGCGTTCCTTTTGTTCAAAATTTTTTCTGGAAGCTGTCCATACAGACAATTATCTTTGACATTTTCGATGGGTAGACGCGTCATGCGGCTCCAAGGCTATGAGGGCGGTTCGCTCGTCGTGACCGTCTTGAGCTTGGCCATTCCCGCGGTGCAGGCTGGGTATGTCCGCTGCAGGAGGATCTCCCATACCACGCTTTCAATCGGAACTCGAAGTGGTCTCTGCCTCGAAACTATGTCAGCCTTTTCTCAGTCCAATCGCTCATCCAGACCACTCCTCTGCAGCACTGCAGATTGGGCTCACCTTCTTGCTCTACAGCAGGGTCCGTGCAGAGGTGCCCGGAAGCAAGGTTTTTCAAGCCTTGTACGCAATTAAATGGTGCATTGTTGTTAAGTGTTCATGCATAGCCTGCGAAGAACACCTAGCTTGGCTTAGAAGTCAAAGAGAGGCTAGGCATGACGCAGGCACCGCTTGCTTTCGGTTGAAAGGGTTCAGGATGTGGGGTCCCAGCCTTGGGGAAATTGCATGGTACAGACGCCCCTTCCAGCTCCCCCCTGAACTTTGGCATTGGGTTGATAGCTTCGAGTCACGCGTCCTCTTGAAGACTCTCGGCTGCAGGGCCCAGTGGTTACAGGTTGGTCGATAGCTGGAAACTGTGTGATCACTCATTGCAACCGTCTCGTATCAGCAATGCTGTGCTCGATTGCTGTAGCCACGATGAAGCGAGGATCGAGAAGAACTCCAGCAGTGTGCGTTTCGACTAACACTGCCTCGGGAAAAGTATACTGAATTCAGGAAAAGGCTGCCTCCCGGGGTCAGGCTTGTTCGACGCAGCCCAGGACGCGCTGTCAGCGCACCATATGGTTATGACCAAGCACAGCCACGTCGAGCAAACAAGAAGCATTGCAATGGTGGAGCTGACGTCCATGTGCTGTGTCTTTGGCATGAGGTGCCGCGACATCCTATGAAAGCATATATAGCAGATCTTCGTTGGAGCAAGCAAGTGCCCAGCTAAAAAGCCAGGGTCGAACCGATCGGAGAGGGAGAGAGAGATATAGAGAGAGGCGCTCTGCTTCTCTTCGGTCGGACGCAGACAGAAAGAGATGTGCTTCTCCTGTGGAAGCCTGACGGCAATAGAAATAGAAAGCAGTCTGCAAGGTTTGTGGGCCGCGACCTCCGTGGGGTGGGGTCCTGCACAGGTTGCTCCCTACTTCGGCCGACGGCTTCGAGCGCTGGTTTCGTCGCCCGCTTAGGATTAGGACTGGTTGGAACTTCCAAGGGTTCAATACTGTCTCGAAGAGAGCAGTCGGCAGAAGATGGTTTGAGGGCAGGGTGTCGACATTCTTTCGGTATGTCGGTACAACGTACGCTTCATGACCTTTCTCGTGGTGCCGTGCTTTCAAGTCAGAAGCCATAAGAGACGAATCTGCGCCAAGGGCCGGGGACCAACTGATGGCTCAGCGCATCTGGCGGGAGGCACGGGGAAGGAAGGTAGGTTTCGATGCCGTAGGAAGCGGCTTGCGGCTTGAGCTGGAAGCGAAGGGTTCAGTCAGCGCAAATTTGGCGCCAATGGTTCTTAAAAGGGCATCGGAGGCAGGGCACCTTTTTGGGATACGGCAGGCTTCGTGGCATTTTCGGGGGCAGGGTGACGAGATGTGGAGTGAAACGACTCGAAATGTTTGACTCGTGTCGAGGCCGCAGCAGACACTAAAGTCTTGCTTCTTGACAGGATTCTTCGGCAGAGTTGAGCAGCTAAAGTTGGTCAGAGTCACCGGAAATTGCGGAACTCCAGGCTCAAAGCGCCGCGTTTTATTCAATTGTCAAGTTTGTGCTCTCTCGCTGTTCGTGCACTGTACAACGAGCTTTGGGTTGGTTCCGAGGCATCGGCTGAGGTTTTGGGCGGCGAGCAACACGCTTAATGGCGGCGAACGAGTCGAGTCTTCTTCTGGCGAGGTCAAGGATGTTTTTGAACGGCCGCTCAATGTAGCATGCTGCAGCTTCTGGCTGCTCGCTAACTCACAGTCATCAGCCATCAGCGAGGCCATATCCATGATGTTTGCTCTTTGGGCCTTCACTTCCTTCTCCGAAAGTCTGTGGTCACCTCGTTGCCGGCTCGGAACGTCCACCTACAACAGAAGCACGTTACACAAGTACAGCTGTATTGCTCCAGCAGCATCTTCACGCTGCCTTCGGCTTAACAGTACATCCTAGATGGTTCCATCCACCCCATGCAGAGGAGCCCTATAGAGCCGGCCTGGACTCGATCCTTGTGCAAAGGCGGACTTTGAATCCGACAGAGGGCTCTTCCAGCAAGCCCTCCCGTTCATGCACCACAAGGAGCTGCCAATCTGCATCAGCAGATGCCTCGGAGCCATCTTCTGTTTGGTTGGGTTTATGGGGGTTGGAGTGTGAGGCATGCAGCTAGTCTGCTTTGGAGGGGGTTGGGGGGGTGTGCTCGGTTGATTTTGCGAACGTCTGATCCTAATACCCCTCAGTGCTCGCAGTTCGTCTGAGTATGTACCCTTGCATAGCGTCCCAGACGCTGCCGATGCACCGAGATTTGATGAATCATGTCTTTCTCCGCAGGAGATTGGGATGGAGCGATACGATGACATCATAAAGCTCTGGCAGGCCAAGCTAGATTGAAGATTTCGCATGCCAGTGCGAGCGATGGCCTAAACCTTTCTGGAAGACCTGATTGGCAGCAGCGCTAGAGCTCAGGGTACACCTGGTGGCTTAGTTCTTTGGTTCTCGAGCTTGTGCGTTTGTCGATTCGTCTCCAGGGGCCATGAAGAAAGGGCTGCCCCCCCCCCCCCTGCTTGCGGGGCTTTACGTCTGCTTGCAGGTCGCGCTGGCTGTGCACAGCGGTCCCAACGAGGACGCGTCGCATGTTGCCAGTCCTTCCTGAGGTGCTGGATTATCGGGCAATCGAGGCCCTGTTGGTTGGCGCAGTGCTTCTGTGGAGTCTAGTTCGACACAGCGAGACAAGCCGCAAAGGCCCTCTTAAATCAGCCTCGGCAGAACCGATCTCGACAACGTGATTAAGAGGGCCAATTCCCTACCAAATCATGCGCGAGTGCTCTGAGACGTTTCAGGAGAACTTCAACTTGAGCAACCTCGGTCTCAAGCAGGAGCAGCCTCCCCTGGAGGCTCTTTGTGCCATCCAGCGAGCTCTTGCCGACACGTGCCGCAGTTGCGCGGACAGGCCTTCTGTGACGGGTTTGCGGCCGCCGAGTGCCAGAGGCTGGCCATCGACCTCTCACACAACCCGCTGGGTGCAGCCCTCAAGCGGAGCTTGGCAGCTAATGTCATGCCCGCGTGCTTCATCAGCTTCATGGCTACAGGGCTTGGTGGATTCCTGCTCGCACGTTTGCGACATCCCCGAGGTTTGTAAATTGCCACGAAGACCGGAATGACCGCTACCTGCCAACGCCCTGATGGGAGTTGCAGAAGGAATTGGCAAACTCACAGCCCCAAACCTGAGAAAGCCCAAGCAAACCCAAAGTCCTGAAAAGGGTAGAGGTGGAACCACGCGCGGAGCAGGAGGGGCAATCCCTAGGCCCAGAACTGGTGAAGGGAGTGGGGAATGACTCCATCAGGCGGAAAGCGTGGCCTGAGCACGACAAGTCGATTAAGTAGAGGGCAGTGTCAAGCCCTAACGAAGATGTCGAATGACGAACTCACAAATGCGAGGGCTCTCATTTGTCAAAGGCTGAGCCGACCTATTGCTTAAGCAAGGCGGTGGGCGGGAAATTCGGATGTGTGCAAGATGGACCAAGTTGGGCAAGCGAGGTAGGATCAAAGTTTAACATGCAAAGACGGACCATGGGATCACCAGCTGGAGCCGGTTGACACAATCCGCATGTCAAAGATCCGCATGTCAACGATCCGCAGAGCACTGTACCGTTTATTACTGGCCAATCGTGCGCTGTGGAGCCTCCTCCCATCCAACGATCTGCGCCGAGGCGATGCAGGGGCGAAGACCCTGGCCGCGGCCGTCTCGAGCGTCACGAAGATGGAGGAGGTGTCCCTGAACCTGGAGATGTGTGACCTAGGCCCGGGTCTCGGAAGCGCTCGGTGTGCACCTATGACGAAGTCGATTAGCACATGCCTCCAAATAGAGCGGAGGCTGACAAACCTTAAGCCTTAAACCCTCAAGGAATGCCTGCTGCAAAGGAGTCGGTAACCCGAAACTCCAAGAATCGCCGGAAAGAGTTGTCCCAGTAGCGGTTAACATACCGTGTTAAAGTATTGGGTCAACATGGACCAAAGTAGGATAAGTGATGTAGGATGAAGTGCTTGTAAGCTTGCCAAGTGAAGCAGAGCACAGGGGGGACTTTTGGATCATCAGACACATACTCCCAACCGACATTAGACGATGGAGCTCTAGGCTGCCTTCGGGGGAGGGGGGCAGGCCTTTTGGAACAGAGCATGCCTAGCAGGACCAAATGATACTAGTACTAGTGCACAACAAGACACTCCGCAGTGTTCATACTTGGTATCCTACTTGAGAGCGGCAGTTTAATGTCCGCTTTCCACCTTGAAAAGTGGTATTGACAATAATCACTTTTTCGATGTTTCAACCAAAAGCCAGACAAGTGTACGGCTGGAGAATATTTTAGTAGCTTGGGGCCGCAGAGGTTTGGTAGACCAGGCACTGTCTTCAACGCTTGCTGACAATTCAACTGCAAGTTACATACTCACAAGAGCCACAAAGACCGCACGCTCCAGAACCCGAGGCGCGGAGGGTGCCGGTGCCCTCGCCAGCTCCATCGGCATGCTGGAGAAGATGCAGAAGCTCAGCCTGAACCTGAAGGGCAACAAACTCTGCCCAGGGCCGAGATCGTTTCCGGCATTTTTCAGTTTTCGGTTCGGAAGAGCGCGGCGAGCGATGAGCACATGTCCGAAAGGCCTCTTCGTGACATGACGCAGAGCCTTCTCCGGAATCGATATCGTCCAGCATCATCTTTTCTCATGCAATGCTGAACGGCACAACAGCTTACTGGGCAGAGTGCAGAGGGGTTTCGGGATTCCCAAGACGCCGTATGACGTGATTTCAAGTTATCTGCCTGCCTGCAGTGCTTCTGCGACAGTTTTCCAGGAAGGTCCTGCTTCGAAGGTCGCCAGCAGTCCCCGTCAGCTCGTTCCAATACCATCAAGAGCCGGTTGATGCCATCCCCGCTCCGACGATCCGCAGAGCGCTGTACCGTTCATCACCGGCCCAACGCCCGCGGTGGAGCCTCCTCCCATGAAACGATCTGCACCGAGGCGATGCAGGGGCGAAGGCCCTGGCCGCGGCAGTCTCGAACCTCAAGAAGATGGAGGAGGTGTCCCTGAACCTGGAGATGTGTGACGTAGGCTCGGGTCTCGGAAGCGCTCGCTGTGCAGGCTGCCTTCGGGGGAGGGCGGCAGGCCTTTTGGAACAGAGCATGCCTAGTAGGACCAGAATGAGAACAAGACGCTCTGTACGTTCATACTTTGGAATCGCCATGTGAAGGCCACTTTTAAGCCTGGAAAGGTGGCATTGACATGAAGCACTCAACCAATAGTCAAACAAGTGCACGTTTGTTGGAACAGAGCATTCCGTCTGTACCCAAAGCGACAGATCTTGGAACCGCGGTGGCAGGGCCACTTTCAGCTCTACAGTGTGGTATTGACTCTGCATGATTGCCTTGCGATTCCGCTTCCTGATATCTTGAGCCGGGCCAGTGCGCAGCTGTAGCAGGTGAGACTGGATGTGGGGATCGTACAGAGTGCATCGAGCCTCCTCCCATCAAAACGATCCGGCCGGAGTGCGGGGATGGTGAAGAATGGAGGTCTTTTGAGCTTCCTGCTTGGTATGATTTTTGCGCGGATGCATTCCGCGGCCTCCGAAGCTTCAGCTCGAAATCAGAAATTGGGGGCCTCGATGGGACGTTGTGGCGTTGCCGGTGTACGTGGGCTTGCACCCAATGCACGGCTGGAGCAGATGTGACTGAGTTAGGGGTCGCAGATTTGCCACCATGCTTTCGTGAATGAATCTGAATGTGCGTATGCAAATGAGCACCTTGGCGGTTTGTGCCCTGGCAAGCCTCTCAAGATATAGCTTCCGTGACCAGACCAGTCGTTCTTCTTGCGCGAGTTTACTTCCCAGCTTTCTCGGCTTGCCGAAGAAGCCAGCTCGTCTTGTCGTGGCCTTGTCTCCCGTGACGTGTTGCATGTTGCAGGCGAACTCCCACATCGTTTGTGTTTGGGGTGAAGAGGACGGAGTCACGATAATGCGGCGATGCTGTGATTTTCCACAGGTGGCTTGCGCAGGGGCCACTAGCGTTTAATTTATTGTGTCAGACTTTCCCCAAGGCAAGGAGGGCGCGCTCTCCTTGCTGGAGGCGGGCCGCAACAGCTTGTGAGCAAGTTCTCGGCCGGACTCCCAAACCCCTGCTGCCCGTCGGCTGTCAGGGCTTTGATGCTCCTGGGATTCTTTTGTTTTCTTGATCCTGTACGTCTGACCCCCACTCATTGGGGAGCCGGGCAGAAGATTTTCTCGGGAGCCGCGCAGGCCCTCCGAGCCACCTGCGCAGCGTCGGTGCAGCTCGATTTGGGTGAGAGCGACATCGGAAAGGGGGCCTTCGCGCTGGCCAGGGCCCTCCGTTCCGGGGAGGCGGGGCCTTCCGCGGCGATGCAGAAGAGAGATCCCGACGTTGTTTCTTCTGTGCCACACTCCTCTCTCGTCTGCTTCCCTGTTCGCGTTCAGGTGAGGGGCCACGTCGCCCACCCGGTGGTGGAGATCTTGGCCAAGTTGCAGGCTCGCGCTATTTCTTCGAAGTGTGTGGTTAGTTCTTCATTTTCCCGGGGTCCGCCCAATCTAGTGCTGAGGGTTGTTGCCCGTCGGCCATGCCTCTGCCAGGGATCTCAGCGAGGAGTCTTGGGGCAAAGTATCTTTCCAAATAGCCGGAATTCCCAACCCTTGAAATTGGAAGCCCTCCACCACCCACCCTATGCGACCTTTCTAGCCACCTTGGCTCGGCACCGCTGGTTCACGGGCACTTCGGGCAGCGCCCGGGGGCCCGGGCAGCCACGGCCGCCGCCACATTGCAGGACGGAGAACTGAAAAAGTTTGAGGAAGCGCAGAAGCTCGAGCTCGATCTCAACCGCTACAGCCGGTGGCTCAGCTCCGGAGCCGAGGCTGTCCAGGCCCACGTGCGCTGGCTTCCGAGGCCACGCCAAAAGATTCCAGCAAGTCTTCGGACCGCTCTGCCGGGCGCTGCCGAAACTTCCGGAGCTGCTCCGAGAGCTGCGGCTCCGGCTCGACGGCTACACCTTGGGCCTTGGCCCCGGCGCCTTTCGGAGCGGCGGTGCCGGGCAGAGCTCCTCTCTTCTTTCCGGCTTTGGCAGGCGATGACGAGGTTCGGGCCCTGGCCGCGGGCCTCCAGCACCAAAAGGAGCTGCAGGCGCTGAGGTTGGAGCTGCAAAGCAACTCTGTGCGCCAGGGGCCTCAGCTTTCGCTCCTCCGTCGTCCTGTTTGTTTTGCAGCTCTTGTTGGCGGGGCCGCTCCCGCTTGGGGGTTGGGCCCATTTCTCCATCTCTGTTCTTATGAGATCTGCTTTGTACTATCAATCTGCATCCGAATCCAGCTCGCCATGAAGTCCCAAGCCCAGCTCCATCCCAGCCTGCACCCGAAAGGACTCGCCTCCCGTGATGTGCTGCATTGGATTCCCACGGCGCTTTCGTGAGATGTCGTCCGAAAACCCTTCTGCCGAGATGCTTTCGGGAAGGCCGCAATTTGCCTCGCGACTTTTGCAGCTGAGGGGCGCGCGCCCCCGGGACTGAGGTGACGAGGGCGCAAAGGCCTTGGCCTCCGCCCTCCGCGAGCTGACGGAGCTCAAGGAGCTCGTGTTGTGGCTGAACGACAACCGCATCGGCCCGGGGCCTCGAAGAAGTCGAAGCCACATTGCCGCTTTACCCGGAGGGCCGATGTCGGGAGATCCTTTTTTGGAGTCTGATCTTCGTCCAAACCTTGCATCTCCGTTCTTGGTCCCGTCCATCCCCACACGCCGAAGTCTGCAGAGCTGGGTCTCCGTCGATGTCCGCTCCCAAATCCCTCTACCCGCAGATTCTACCCGTGAAGTGGCGGGCACCGCCTCTCCCGCTCGAGGCCCAGTCGGCGCCGCAGCTCTGGCCGAGAGCCTTCGAGCACTGCGGCAGCTCGCGGAGCTCGAGATTGATCTTCAGAGTGTGGTCGAGATGGGCCGAGGCCTGGGAGGCTGGGCTGCCTTGGGGTCTTTGCCACAGAAACCTCCGGCCCAGGCGTGGAGGAGAAGCAGAAGCTCCGGGCCGCCTTCGGCGCCCTGCCAGTGGCCAACAAGAAGATCCTCCTTTGATCCGGAGGCCCCGCCCACATTGTAGCTTCGGCTGGGAGGCCTCCGCCGGTGGGTGGCCCTTCTCCTGAGCGTGTCATCTGCTGCCCAAAAAGCAGAGGTCGCTGCGCGCCGTGCTGGAGTCCGCTTTAGCATCGCAGTCTTGCTTCGGTGTTGGTCTTGGGTTTTTGCTGGTTTGGGACCTTTGAAGAGTGCAGGCGATTCAGCCGACCACACTGTGAAGCGTCCGAAGCTGAAGAGGCGCTCCGCCGGAGCTGCGTGCTTGCATTCCCGTCTCCTGCGGCCCAAGTGCTGTCACAAGGCATCCAAACCAGCCCTGTAAGGCTCAGAAAGTCGATCATCTGAACGTCTGTGCCCTGACCCTGAACCCTCAAGCACCGAGCAAGTCATTGACATTCGAATCCCCAAACTTCGTGCGTCTTGAACTCCAAACTGTGTGGCTTAGTCCCTGATGCGATGTCCAAGCGAACTGAATCAAGGAGCTCGTGCAGAAATCTGGAAGTCAAATCGTGACATGCTGTAGCAATCACAAAATACAATGGACATTGCGTCGTTCTTCCCAGCGTATGGGCTGCGGAGCCAGCAGTGAGAGCAAGTGTGCCGGGCACTGTGGGGACAAGAGTATTGGCCGCTTCTCTGCTTTTCTGACGTAACGTAACTCTAAACCGACCCCTAAACCCCAAAGTGTTTTTCTGACAGATTTCGCAGTCTTCTGGCAGGATCACAAGTCCTGCGAAAGCTTGGGGCTCTGATGTTCGGGTCGAGACGGGTTGAACTTATTACAGGTGTTTCATCTCCAGAAGCGCTGAAAACTCATGTCAAATTTCATGCTTGCCTTGGGCCTAAGATCGGGAAGTTGGTGTTGCTTTTTTGTGGGTATGTCACCACTTCTTTGATGAGAGTTTCTGAGTGATTCGGGTGCTAGAGACCGTAGGCTGGATACTCTGAATTCTACTGCAAGCCGGAAAGTCAACACTCAATCTTCAACTTGAGAGGGGCGAGCAGTGACCCAAAGCTTCCGTACAAAACGTGGAAGATCATCGATGTCCAATCCCGTACAAGCATGATCTCCTGTACAACCCCCTGGTTTCTAGCACTTCTTCATCCCGGCTCCGACATCTGAAGCTTCGTCGGCAGGGCAATCCCAGGCAAGACTCTTCGGCTTAATGCACAAGGCTTCGGTTGCAATGGCTTCAACTTCATGGCTAGAGCTGTTGATGGGGACTTTCGGGTTCAAGGTGTGAGGGGCTGAGGGCCTTGGGGCCTTTCGTGCGCCCGTGTGCCGCAGACAAAATCGTTTTCCGCCCCAAAGTGGCGATTCAGATCACCTTTTTCTGTGTCTTTGGTTGGTGGCGTCCATGGTTTCTCAACATGGACAGTACCCATGTGTGATTTTATTGGGGTCTATAGACGTACTTCAGAAAGAAAGAGTGCAGTTCGCACCAACAGTATGTCTGTAGTAGTATGCTTCAGTGCGTTGGTGAAAGACGTGGAAGATCACGTATAAATACCGATGTCTGACCCGAAATGCGCGAAACTGAAAAACCCTCAGCCTTGAAGCCCTCGAAATCTTCGGAGCTCAAAGATTCCCGAGGCGGGGCCGGGGTCCGCCGCAGACGGGTTTGAGCCAATGAGAGGGGATGAAAAAGCGTGTGTGTTTGGGAAAGGCTGGTCGGGGGCCAGTGGAGGGCCCAAGGTGCTAGGACCTCAAACAGGCTTGCGGTAGTTTGTGATCTTCTTGTCAGAGTTTTGAGGGGTAGGAGTCGGGTCTGTCCTTGAGGCTCCACGCACTTGCTGCGGGGATTAGAACTTTTAGTTCCCACGTCTGGAGCCTTCGTGGTCAAGGGCCATGGACCATGGCCCTGCTGGTTTCACGCGGCTCAAGACTTGCCACAAAATTAAGGCATGCCGAAGTCTAATTGAACCGGTTCATCCCGAGTCTTCGAGACTCGAAGCCTCCACAGCCTTGCCGGAGATTTTCAAGAAGTCTGCCAGAGCACCAGTCATGCTAAAAATAGTAGTGACAACAGTAATGGTAACCAAAGCTATGGTAGTAATGGTCTGTCAACAGCGTTACATCATCAGGTTGTGAGATTCTCTTGTGATCGCTGCTAATAGTCGGCATCAAGCGAATATGAGGCTCATGGAGGGGAACAAACAACGAACTAGCGGCCGCTTCGGCTCGAAGTGCTTCACGCCCATCCGTGACTGACATTGGTTATCATCCACTACTTGGCCATCGTGGCAGCAATGAAGCATCCGTCAAAGCCTCGAAGCCCCATGTAAGTCATGCACTGGAGATATTACAGCTCAGTCTTCAAGAGGATCGACACCGTCCTATTTTTCCTGTCTCCTTGGCCTCCCAAGCAGGAGAGCCAAGGCCAGCCGAGTTCGCTGATTTGCAGAATTAACAACCCCCCCTCCACAACGCTTCGAACGGCCCTCGATGGTTTGTGGTTGTGGAAAAGGCTTTGGTCGCGATTTGTTCAGGCTCTGGGATTGGTCATTTCTTTTTCTCTTTGGCCTGCATCTTTGGCCTGCATGTTCACGATCAGGCGCCACCTTAGACCAGGGAGCTTGTCTCTTGTGTTCGCAGGGTACAAACTAACGTCATTTGAGTGTTATAAACAGTGCAAGGCTCCGACACCCTAATCCCAACTCCTAAATATATATATATATATACACACACATACATACATACATACATACATACATACATATATAGAAAAATACTAAAGTGGGTCTGCAGAAGTTTAGGGTTTGGGGTTTAGGGTGTATGGAGTTGAAAGTCGCTGGGGCTATCGGTTTGGCTTCTCGCTTTCGGTAGCAGGTTTAGCGGAGCGACATTTCGGTGGACTGGTAGCAACCAGCAGGTCAGTCTCAACAGAATCGAGGAACCAGAACTTGTGTCGACTGCTGTGGCAAGCTCCGATTCTTCTAAGAGTGCAGAACACATCAGAGACAATTGGCTGGAGAAGACAGGGGTTCAAGCAGTGTGTGCGTTAAGAAAGCCGGGCTTCGGGCGACGCAGCATGTAGTTGACGGAACTCCGCATGGGTCCTGGCTGGTCATGTCCGACTCCGGCGAGGAGGAGGTTCGCCTGCTGTGTGGGGCGGAAGTTGAGTCAGAGGACGATGAGGAGCTGGTGCTAGAGGGACGCTTTGCTATCAGGAACCCTAAGACAGTATACCGCGACGTGATCCGAATAATGGTTTCCCCACATCCAGGATTGAACAGTTATGTCAGCGTGTTGCATCTCAGAGAAATTGAAAGAATAAGCGCATTGTGCTGAACATAAGCCGACATCTCAGGATACAGAGATGGGATGCTGACCGAGTATGTGAACGGCAGGGGTGATACAGTGAATTGCATCAACTCCATCAAGGTTTACACGGCCATGAGCACGCACAATTTGTGGAAGGTCGATGACCAGCTGGAGGAGTTTCACGTCTCCTTTGTTTTGAGGTTGAAGTGGAAGGATCCGAACTTGAAGTATTTCAGAGCCAAGCTCACTCTGCAGACGCCGGCGCCACATCAACCTGTGCAGGTTCATTCCGATGTACGAGAACTGGAAGTCATCGTTATCCGGAAACATCTGAACGGGGACTTAGAGTACATCGAGGTAGGTCAGGGCGACTTCTACCACACGATCCGGTATGAGGACTACATGTCCCTGAGTGCTCCAGACTGGCAGCACTACTTCTTCCCGAAGCACAGCTTTACGAACATGCGGCCGGAAGAGAAGCTGGTCTTCGAACAAAAGGAAATCCTGTGGTCTGATGAGACGGGCGGGTTCGTAGAATACAAAGTGAAGTATGATGCGAGATTTTCAGAGACCTTGGAACTTCGAAGCTTCCCGCTTGACCGGCAAATCTGCAGGATCAAGTGCTCGGCCGAACTTCCGGCGGAAAAGTTCCAGTTCGTCCCAGAAGCCGGCAGCTCATGGGAAGGAATCACCACATGCGACATGTGGTGCCCGGGAAGCGATCTGCCAAGCGGGAAGAAGGTGAGCTTGCTCTACGTTCGCTACTGCGACAAGCACTATGCATACCCTATACAAAGATCCTGTGCCACCATTCTGATCCATTTGGACCGTGATGGATCCTACTACTTCCATAGTGTGCTGCTCATGGTCTTCATGGTGAACCTCGTCAGCCTGTGCGGCTTGCGCATCTCGCTGAGCCACCTAAGCGGCCGCCTGGGCCACCTCATCACTTGCTTCCTGGCTGTTTTGGCGTATCGCTACGTCATCGACGATAAGCTTCCACAAAAGCAGTACATGACTGCGGCCGACTGGTACATACTCTCAGCTTGTGTCTTTCTTGTGCTGCTCTGCATTGAGACAGTCGTTCTGTCGGCTTGCGGCAGGGAGGGCGTCCTGACTTGGTGCAAGACCTCGGATCAAGACATGTTGGATCGATATACCGGTTTCGGTGCGGCAGCGGCATGGATCCTGGGCAATGCCATGCTATACTTTTTGTGGAAATGCGGGTGTCGGTCGAGCTGGAGCAGCGTCTATGCCGATAACGAAGAACCGTATTTCCGTGTCTGCGAATGCCCAGAATGTAAGCATCGTTGGCTCCGCAAGCAGTTTGGAAACAACGATGGGAAGTGCAAGGAACCAGCACACGCGCATGTCACCCCGCGATTGCTTTACCACACGCCTCTAGACCACGATCCGGTGGTGCAGCCACAGCCGCTCCCAGAGATTCCACAACACGTTAAGGGAGTAAGCTCAACTGGATCGCAGAGCTTGCGCCACAGCGAAACGAATAAAAGCAAAATCTGTAGAGCTGAGGCAGAAAGGTTTCCCAGGCTGCCGCATGCTCGGGCACCTTCGCTTACCGAAGGACAGTATTGGGAACGCTCTGCTAGTAAGCCGACCCCAACTCGCTAGCACTACACCATTCAAGCAGTCTTTGATAACCCCAAGCGCCTCGGCTTTGTGACTCTGAAGCCCAAGCATGACACTACACTCAGCCTCAAAAGCCTCGGTGCCCAAGCAGAGTTTGATCGGCCTCTCGCCCGTGGGGAAGGGAAGAGGAGTTTTCGGAGGGGAAGTGCATTCTCTCAGCTGCGCAATTGGCTTAGGTTTGCCATGAAGCTGCAGGCTCGCAGGGCGTGAAGTTGGCATCTGCTAGGAGCCAAAGCCGCACATATGGAGATGATGCTGTCTGCCACAAGTCCTAGCAGTCCGCTAACATTTGCCGCTTTTCACGACTCGAGGTGCAGTCGAAACCTCGTGGGTTGCGGTCGCTTGGTATAGTAAGTTCCGTAGTTAAAGTTGATGCTGGTGCCATGTCGAAAGTCTCCTTGTGTGCCGAAAGCATCTCGCTTACCACCTACGACCTACAGCTTAATATGCCAACACAAGACGAAACAAACGTGATACGAATATCCGAATCTGGCTTGGGACTGTGGATTTATGCTTCTCGGTAGAGCTTTTCTGTTGGGGATTTGCATACTGTGGCTTTACGGAGGCTGCAGTATTCTACACGGGATCGGGATCTACGACACAGCGGGGAAACCGCTTAAACGGGGAAGCTGCAGACTCGCCCGAAGCGCCGAGTTTCCTTGCAGGCCGCCTCGCCAAAGCCGGCGGAAGGATCACAGACTTCGACGTTTGATGGCTGCAGAGATCAAAAGACGGTTGCGACACAGAGTCCGTGAGCGTACCTAAACCCGAAACCCTGAAACTGCGGCTACGAGCCCTTCAGCTTCCGCTTTGGTACCCGTCGGTAGCTGGATGCTATACTACAACTAAAATGGCACAATAAGTATTCATTATCAATTATGAAGGATCATTCGTCTCGACTCCATGCCCGGAGCTCGCGAAAAATAAAGCTTTTGGTGCAGCGCTCGCACGAGGAGGCTCCCAACCCTTAGTTCGGACCCCGGAGCTCCGAAAACCCAACTACAACCATCCCCGAAGCACTCCTGAAGTACCACTAATCTACTAGAAGCTCTGCGCCCTATGCGCCCGAGCTCCCGAGGCCTTCAACCCTGCCCTGAAACCATGACCCAGCGCTGAATACTTTACGGTTCAACCTTCAAGTCTTGGCTCAGGCCCTGGTCTGAAACCTAGTCTACGTAGGGTCTAGGATCAGCGGTCTCGAATGTCTAGGAAGGGTCTTGTTGAAGCCTCGTTCGCAGAACGCAGAGATGTTTTGCCCGAAGATTCAGACGGACCATTTCTGAAGAGTCCTTGGACGGGCACTGCGCTTCAATTCTCCTTAATGCCCGGTGTGCGCCATGCTATGAGACTCTTCCTCTTCCCCGGCCTTGAAGACCCGAAGCATCCACACCCTCGCCCGAGAGCCTCAAGAAGTGAACAAGCCCATGTCTGCTATCCCTCGACTCATTCTGAGTGGAGGGATAAACGTTCCGCTAGCCCTCTGGGTGCTGGTTTTGAGAGTCTTGGGACTCCAACTTGTTGGGGACGCACAAGGCCTACCGTCTAAGCCTCATCCTAGTCGCAGTGTTCCTTCACCTCCCGAAGCTCTTCCACAGCGCAGATGTGTTTTGTTCACTGTCTCTAGGAGTCGGCATGAAGATTAGGACATCGGAGGTGGCAAACAACGAACTCTCGCGGACTCTTCGGCTCGCAGTGCCCCATGCCCATCCATGACTGCCTTAGTTGCCAGTAAATGATAGTTGGCAACTTTCTAAACAGCAGCCATCGTAGCACGTGATGAAGCATCCGTCAGATCCACGGAGCTATTACAGTTGTCAGGGCGGGGCAGGTTTCCCTCCTCCCGGCGTCCGAACCAGGAGAGCCAAGGCCAGCCGGGCCTGCAACCTGCGCATGCAAAGACTTGCTTGGCTCCCCCATCTTGCCGGCATGGTCTGTAGAACTGTTCCCCAAAAGCTGAGGAGGCACCTGGACCGCTAGATCCGGGTCTTGCGCAGGCCTTGGCCAAAGCTGCCGGGCCTGGGGAGGCCCGGGCCTCGGACCGCTAGAATACGGAACCCGACCTGACTGATGGAGGAAGTCGGAGTTGAAATGTGATAGCTGGTGGCTATTCGTCGGCGTGTGTTCCGGCCTGTTGACCAAGCATCGGTCCATGGCCGCTTGAAGCCGCAAACCTCGACACGATTGACCCTGAAGAATCTCGGACGTGTAAGCCCCGAGGACTTGACAAGGCTCTCGGAGTGTCCCTAACTGTTTCTGCTCTGATCCCCACAGGCCAAGAGTGTCCCTGCAGGTCTTTGCACGGGCCAGTCCAAGCGGCCAAATTTATCTCAGCGGACCAGGCTCCACCGCTTGCTTCAGGGTGCTTCCGGCTCGGTAGCTCGCAGCTGTGCTTTTTCTAGTTGACCGCCTTCGGGTTAAAGGTTTAGAGAGTTTGGGGTTTAGGGTTTAGGTGTTCTCTTCTCCTTGGCTTGTGCAGCAGTTAGCAGCTGGTATCAACGGTTTTGGTCGGGGGCCCCATCCCCCAAGCACCAAAGGCGCCCGAGTTGAGATCGTTGCAACGGCAAGTCAGCACGTAACCACCACCTCCACCTCCGAATCTCAGCAACCTCTCAAGACTAGTGAATCCCCACTCCTTTTCCCGAAGCCAGACACAGCTTGCCAGAAAGGCCGAAGGCCAAAGCTCCGATGCCGAGTGAGGCGCGGGGAGGGCAGGTTTTTGCCCTTGTCCTCCTCTTTCGGGTTCGTGGCGCCGCAGATGTTCGGGTTCCGGTGAGTTTTGTCTCTGAAAAGAAATGCATGAACGGAAGCGCATCGCGGATGTTCGCACCAAAAGCACCCTGTTGTGTTCCGGCCCAGCCCTTGAACATCGAGGAGCTGCGGCAAAGCCACATTCCGAATTCCCGCTCGCCAGGTTGGCCTTGAGCTGGAGAGGGTGTCCGTAGAGACCTTCTGCGACTTCATCGTTTGCCTTCGAGGCAGACTTTCGTGAAGCTAGGTTAAGAGTGCAGTGCGGGGATGGTGGACTACGGCCAAGGCAATTCCATCACCGAGGAGGAACTGCAGGCCCGAGCAAAGCCCATCATCGGACTTCTGTTGTGATTGTTTCTGGCGCTTGGAGCCCAGGGCATCTTGCGGGAAGTTCCCATCGATAGCAGGAGACTCAGAGCTCACGAAAGCTCGCCGGGGGTTGTGCTATCGCTGAAGCCAAAACCAGAGCCCAGGCGAGGGCCTGCTGAGCTGCCGGAAGCTCCTCCGGTGCCTTCAGCGCCGGACAAGCGATCGCGGGCCCGCGGGCCTCCTGAGCCGGGCCTTCGCGCGCTGCTTCCCGGGTCGCCCCAGCGAGCCGACAGAGGCCCGGGAGCGTTCTGAGCTCCAGTTGTGGTTGAGGTCATGCCCGCAACGATTTTCCATGGTTTGGCTTACCTTCTCGATGCCAAAACTCACCCTGTAGGAAGTTGGGTTCCATGGAGTTCAGACAGGGGTTCAGGCATAATCCTCTGCGCATGTAAACATAATGCGAGGGTTGGGATGAGTAGGCAGCGAACGGTCACCCTTGAGATGAGCTATATATAGCTTCTCGTCTATATACTATATAAACGAGAAGCATATACAAGTCAGTGATGCACTCTTCGGCAGAGACCGGTGGCCTGTGCAAGCCGTACGTAAGTTCAGCGATCCGAGAACGTACACGGGCCTCTCATTGTCAGAAGCACGTATCGACGATTGAGGGGGGAGTCCGACCAATACGAGGTTAGTCACGGTTAGTCTCTGCAGCTTTGCCGATGGTCTGCTGGTACACGAGCGAGATTCCCCTTTTGCTAAGTGGGCACGGAGTCGAACACCGGGCATAGGACGGCTGCAATCCTGCGAACAGCCTGCAAGCCCAGCCAGGGAGTCGAAACAGACCAAGTCCGCGAGGGAATCCCCGGGCTTCGAGGCCGTCTGCATGCTTTTGGCCGAGCTTTCTCCAGACTGTTTTCGGGATCATCTGGCAGCCGGTGCCTGCACGGGAGGCAATGCTGTCACCGAGCAGGCACTGCAGGTGGGATGAAGTCATGTGCGGCCATGCTCTTCTACCCCTCACACAACGACCTGGAGCTAGGACTCTCTGCCAGAAGTTCCTGGTGATCGCTTGGAACCCAGGAAGCACGCACCATCTCTTCCAGGCCAACTGCATCCAAATCTGCCTCTGCCAGAGCCGTAACCTCAATTTAGCAACAGCCCCAACGCACTGGAAATCCTGAGCAACTCTCCAAGCGCCGCAGATGGAGCCGAGGCGAGGGCCAGAGCCGCCAGAGCCCGGGGAGCTTCCGGGAGCTCGAGGGCTCCTTGCCGGATCGCGTGAATCAGGAGCACCGGGCTCTTCGAGCCTCAAGAGGGCGTTCACTCGGGGCCTTCGATCTGGTGTCGTCTCTCTTGAGATCTCAGTGCTCCCAAGGAGCCGCCGGATGATGGCGAGAAGCCGGAGGAGATCGGCAAGCTTCGGCTGGACGCTCAGAAACGGCGGAGGGTTGGAAAACGTTGCAAAATGCACTTCCGCGGTCCACTGAGGAGAGGCTCATGCGACCACTCGGATCCAGGCACCGCCAAAGCAGTGCAGGCCGTCCGCGTCCCCACCATCTCTTGCAAAAAGAGGGCACCGGGTTCGGCAGGGGAAGGAGTACGACCTGGCCGACAAGAACCAGCTTGCGGCTTTCCTCGAAGATGCGGACATTCAGCTGGTGCCCTGGGCTCGAGGGCGGCGAAACGGTGGCAGCAGCGAGGGGTTGGTGTAGGTTTGCCTCAAGACTCAAGTTGGAATTAAATTAGAATCAGCCTGCCCCTCTGGCCCGAACCGACTCGCTGATCCTTACTCTTGCTATCTCTTGCTTCATCGTGCTCATCGGAAAAGCTTTTTGCTTCTCTAAATCGGCTTGTTGCCTGATCTCAATGCCTCTGGGTCGAATGCTGCAGCTTCCATTGTTCTTGCCGACTTCTCCCCTGCCAGGGTTGCCAGGATGGCCCGGGCATGCGGAGGATCTCCAAGGATGCCCTCCACGTCATCGTCAGGAACCTCAAAGGCCGGAAGCAGAGCTGCCGATAGCCGCCAGAGACTTTCTGTCGCAGCCTGTCACAACCTCGGCAGATAGCTCGGCTGTATAGCTGTACGCCTGCCTATGCTAATTACCAGTGCATGCAGCCGATAGTGCAGCATGCATCAGGCGACCGTTTCACCGTGGACATGCTCCAGGCAGAGACTGTTTATGTGGCCAGTTGCGCTTCTACCCATGACCCCGGGCGCCAGGGCATCCTGCAAGAGGTTGATCCCGATGGCCGCTCAGCCGTAAGAGCACCTTCAGAGTCAGAACCGCTGTGTCCTTTGTGATTTCGGAAAGCGGAGGCGAGGGGCTGCTGAGCTGCGAGGAGTTGGCACGCTGCCTCCGCCGCCCGGCTCCGGCTCCAGAGACGCAAGAGGCCGGGGGCGTGAGGATGAGCGGGTTTTGATGTCACACAACGCCTGCGCCAGTCCAAGCGCTTCGACCTGGCGCAGAAGCAGGGGCTCGCGGACTTCCTGAAAGAAGCGGACATCCGCTTGGTCCACACCCCGGGCTGCAGTGTTGAAGTCTGCAAATTTCCTGCAGCCATCAGCCATCCGATGATGTTTCCTGTTGCGCGTGAAAATCTGCATGTGACGGATCATGCGTCTGACAGTTTTGCTGTGTGAAGCAATGAAGCGTCCTGCCCAGGTGCGAGCCGACTTCATTTTGAAGCTGCACCGGGAAGGACAGCGGCTCCCGCGCCGCCAGGAAGCGGAGTTTGGCTACGTCGAAACCCGCACGGCACTTGTCACGCACGAGGAGGTCCCACTGCAACCTGCATTTCCGTCAGTTTTCCCATTGATTGTCAACGTTCGGAGGTCCAAGCCTGGGCCGATGGCAAGGCGCCTGAAGGCACCCAGATAGTCTCGCTGTCCCACTGCTGGGAGTCGAGGGAACACTGTGATCCGTACGGATTCCAAGTTGCCAAGCTAGCCAAGACTCTTACGGGAAAGGAATGGCTGTTCATCGATTATGTATCCTTGTATCAGTTCCAGCGACTCTCCCAGAAGCAGAATGTCAGCTTCGGGCGTGCGATGCAGCACATGCACGTGCTGTACTGCCATGAGAAATCAAGTACGCTCCGAATCGAGTCTCTGACACCGGCAGCAGACATCGCAGAAGCCGAGCGAAAGCAAGAATGCGTGATGATGTATCACCACCCCACCGGCCTGGTGAAACCAGTGCCGGTCACTGCATTGGTCAAGAATAATACCCCTTATAGTGAGCGGGGCTGGTGTGCAGCGGAGAGGGAGTGGTCAAGTACTCGAACAGCCACCAACCTGTCGCGCGAAGTAGATGCGGCGGAAGGCGAGAAGGGGGGAATCGCCCCGATGGTGCCGGAGGCATTTCGAGAGAACGTAGCACACCAGCTCAAATTCACGCATTTGAAGGATGTAGAGACCGTCTGCAGATTGCAAGCGGAAGTGTACAAAGAGAAGGCAGAGATGTGCAAGAGCTTGCGGCTCGTAGATTTGGGCGCGGAAGCCCTCGGCATCGCCCTGTCGGGCCTCGAGCGCTACCCGGTGCTGGAGCGCCTCGACCGCAAAGCACTGCCTTAGGAGAAGCTTGAACGGAGCTAAAGCGGCCTCCCGACCAGACCGCCGTCACCTTCAGGAGCCTGGAGATCGTCCACTGTGAGCTCAGCCCCAAGCTCCTGCTACTGCTGAAGGCCGGTGAGCATTTCAGGCAGAAGCCAGCGCAGCCCAACCACCTCTGAGCGGGTCCTGAAGGAGAAGCAGCTTCCACAGCTCCACCTGCAGCACAACGAGCTCTTGGAGGAGGGCACCCGCCAGGTCGTTGAGGCCCGCCGCCAGTTGCCGATGCACACTGCTGGCATGGTGGCTTACGTTGAGCGGCACTTTAGGATGCATCATGGAAGGTGAAGGCTTTTTTGGTGTGCGTGCGTACTGCGGCACGACGATGCGCTCCAGGCCTTGGCTGTGCAGCTTGCGGCACTCAGCCTCAGCCACGACCGCATCGGCGTCGCTGGTGTCAATGCTTTGGCTGAGGCCTCGAGCTCGAAGATAAGCGGGATCGGATTCAGTGGCCTTCGAGATACAATTGCCCGCCCCGATCTTTTGCTTCCCTGGAGAAATTGCAGACTGAAACGCGAAGCCTGCAATTCTGCACGTAGGCTCTGCGGACGTCGAAAGCTCTGATCGAGCTGAACCTGAGCCACGTGTGCCTGGACGGCGATGGGGTCAGCGCTCTCGTAGAGGCCCTGGGACGGGCTGTTGAAGGCCTTTCAGGGTTGTGCTTGCTGAGGTTGCAGGGACACAGGCCGCTGAGACGGCTTCCACTGAAAGAAAAAGTCGGGGTAGGAACGAAGCACAGTGGCCGCTAGCAAACTTCACAGAGCTTTGGCTCCGCATTGCCAAATCCTTCCGCGCATTCCTGGCTTTGTCATTATGTGCAGGCAATCACGCAGAATCGCACGCTCAAGCGGCTGAGCATTGCGGGAGCCAACCTTGAAATTGCGGAGGAATGCGCTTTGGCCCTTCTTGAGGCTGGCGGCTACTGTTGTACTTGCCACAAGCTCACCGCCACCCCAAGGCATCTTGAACCTCCTCCCAACCTGCAGCTTGCGAGCAAGTGCCCGTTGCCCTAAACCCTAAACCCGCTCCCTTTTGCGGGAGTCTAAAGTCTAGAGCACCGCCCTGCAGGCGCTCCGAGTGAGCGGGGTCGAAGCCCAGCTCCAGCTCGATCTGACGGACAGCGATTCGGGCAAGGCCGCCGTGGCATTAGCCAGGGCCCTCCGGACCGGCCAGGCGGGGTAACGAGAGCTCGTGACGCTTCTTTGCTCCCTCTCTTTCTCTCTGACATCTTCGCATCTTCTGCGACTGGCGCTGTCCGCAGGTGAAGGGCACCGTCACCCACCCAGCCACGGAGTTCCTGTGCATGTTGGAGGCTGGCGCGTTAAGTTCTTCACCCCTTCGGCCCCGAATTGACCGAGTGAAGTCGACGGCAGGGTTCTTGGGGGCAAAGTCTCTTCCAAACAATCCAAAGAAGCCTGGAAACCGGAAGCCAAACAGACCACTAAACCGGAGGCCAAACAGACCACCCCCGGTGCGACCTTCTAACCATCCCTTTGCTTAGCACGACCGCTCGTTTCCCTGCGCGTCACGGGCTCTTCGGGCAGTGCAGCCACGGCCGCCGCCGCCGTGCAGGACAAAGAATTCAAAGAGCTCGAGGAAGCGCCGCAGAAGCTGAAGCTCGATCTCAACGGCAACGGCTACAGCCGGCGGCTCAGCTCCGGAGCCGAGGCACCGCCCACGGCCCGCGTGCGCTGCCTTCCGAGGAGGGCGACCCGAGAGTTTCCGGCGGCTCTTCGGACCGCTCTGCAGGGCCCTGCCGAAGCTCCCGGAGCCGCTCTGGGAGCTGGAGCTCTGGCTCTACCGCAACGGCGACGCCTTCGGCCCCGGCCCCGGCGCCTTTCGGAGCGCGTTTCGCAGAGCTCCCCGCATCTTTCCGCCTTTGGCAGGTGCTGACGGGGCCCGGGCCCTGGCCGCAGGCCTCTGGCACCAAAAGGAGCTGCAGGTGCTGAGGTTGTGGCTGAGTAACAACTCCCTGGGCCGGGGGCCTCAGCTTTCGCGCCTCCGTCGTCCTTTTTGTTTTGTAGCTGTTGTCGGCGGGGCCGCCTGGTAGGGTCCGCAAGCCGACCCCAGCCATTTCTCCAGCTTTGTACTATCAAACTGCATCCGAATCCAGCTCTCCATGAAGCCCCAAGCCCAGCTCATCCCAGCCTGCACCCGAACGGACTCGACTCTCCGTGATTTGCAGCAGAGTCTTGGATTCCCGCGGTGGCTCCCGTGAGATGTCGTCCGAAAACCCTTCTGCCGGATGCCCGTGCCCGTCCCCTTTCGGGAAGCCCGCAATTTGCCTCGCGACTTTTGCAGCTGACGGGGGCGCGCACCCGGGGCACCGAGGCGACCAGGGCACAGAGGCCTTGGCCTCCGCCCTCCGCGAGCTGACGGAGCTGAAGACACTCGTGTTGAGCCTGATTGAGAACAACATCGGCCCGGGGCCTCGAAGAAGCCACAGTGCGCTGCTCTACCCGGAGGGCCGATATCGGGAGATACTGTAGATCCTTTCTTGGAGTCTGATCTTCCTCCAAGCCTTGCATCCCTGTTTCTCGGTGCAGTCCATGCCCCCCACGCCGAAGTCAGAAGAGCCGGGTTTCTGCCGATGTCCACTCTTGGGGTCATCCTGATGGCCTGCTTTTCACACAAACCATGCCCCAGCTCACATCCCCGAAGTCTGAAGAGCCGGGCTTCAGCCGATGTCTACACCCGCAGATTCTTAGCTAGCCCCTGTCTCCCGGCCGAGGCGATGCCGGCGCCACCTCAGTGGTGGAGAGCCTCTGGGAGCTGCAGCAGCTCACAAACCTCAAAGTTTTTCTGCGTGACAACAAGCTCAGCCCGGGCCTCGGAGTCTGTCGGCATCTTCGTCCTTGCCACTCACAAACCCCACCGGCCCAGGCGAGGAGGTGCAGCAGAAGCTCCGGGCCGCCTTCGACGCCCTCCCGGCGGCCGAGAAGGAGATCGAGCTTTAATCCGAGGCTCGGCCCAAATTGTGGTCGTGGCTTCGGGTGGAGAGAGTTCGGGGATCTTCGACTCTCCCGGCTGGGAGGCCTCCGCCGGCGCACTGGTGGTGGGTGGCCGAGCGCCTCAGAGCGCCTCGGAACCGCCGCCCGAAAAGCAGAGGTCGCTGCGCGCCGTGCATTCAAGCTTGTCTCCCTAGCATTGCAGTCTTGCTTCGGTGTTGGGCTTGGGTCTTTGCTGGTTTGGGACCTTTGGGGACTCGAGTCAGGATCTGACGCTACGACAGGGGTCAGAAGAGACGCTCCGCCGAACCTGCCTTGCATTCTCAGGGTCTCGTGCGGCTCAAGTGCTGTCACGTGGCATCAGCCAGCCCTACAAGGCTCAGAAAGTCGAGCATCTGAGCGTCTGTGCCCTGCACGATCCAGTTGAGCCCAGGAGGAGCTTCTGTTAGACACCTATGTTATGTTCAAGAGGGACCCTCAAGCACCGAGCCAGTCACTCACATGCGAATCCCCAAACTTCGTGCTGCTCGAACTCCCAACTGGATGGCTTAGTGCTTGATGCGATGTCCAAGCGAAGCGAATCAAGGAGCTGGTGCAGAAATCTGGAAGTCACATCGTGACATGCTGTACCAATCCCCAACCCAAAAGCTATCATCGGGGGTGCCCTGGACAATGCATTGTTCTTCCCAGCGTATGGGCTGCGATGCCAGCAATGAGAGCAAGTATGCCGGGCACTGTCGGGACAAGGGTTTTTGCATTCGTTGGTATTGGGTGCTTCCCTGACTTTCCGCACTTCCTTTCCGAATTTGCAGTCCTCTGCATCCGGATCTCAAGTCGAGAAGCTTATGTAGGGCTCTGATGATCTCGAGATGGGTTGAGCAAACCCATACGAACTTTGACTCTGGCACAGCCCCTGAGCAGCCGAAATGCTTGAAACTCTCGAAACCTTAAACTCTAAGCCCTAAGCACCCGAAATCCTAAACACCCGAAGTCCTTGAAATCCTAAGCGTTAAAGCCCTCGGCCCTCGAAGCTCCAAGATTCCCGAGGCGGGGGCCCAGCGGTGGCTCGTTTTTCGCGGGCCCGGCTTCGAGCGGACGTGCCGGGAATGAAAAAGGCGCGTGGGGGGGGGGGGCGGGGGCAGTGGAGGGCCAGGGGGGCTTGGACTCTCAAAGAGACTCTTGACACTTTCAAGCTGAGTTTCCGGTCCTTGGAGTTTTGTGGCTGTAGGAAGGGCGGGTCAGTGAGGTTTTGTGGGGTCACGCTCAGGATCCGAAGCCACAGTAAGTAGGGCCGGCTCCAGGAGCTTGCTACGGGGGTCCATACGGGGTTTAGTTCCTGTAGGGTCTGGAGCCTTTGTGGTGAAAGGCCATGGACCTTGTGGCTCTAAGCCCTAAACCCTCAACCTTTAACCGACTTTGCGCAAACGCATCCCCGGGGCTCAGACTCCTAGAAGTCTTGTTAGAGATTGGCATGCTGAGACTTGGAGGCTGCCTTGCCGGAGAGCGTCAAGAAGACTGCAGCAAGATTAATAATATTGCTAATGTTATATCAGTGTTGATAATAGCACAAGAAATACTAACAGCAATGACAATAACAATAACAATGACAGTAATAAACGTAGCAGTAAGAATAAGAAATAATAGGTGATAAGAGAAATAATAGTAATGTTTGTCTATCAGATTCCGATGCCGTCGATTCCAGCAAGGTGCCATTATTTGGCAGTTCATCGAAGGGAACAAACAGCGACCCGGTGGCCGCTTCGGCTCGCAGTACCCCACGACCGGCGCCCATCATTGCTACCATCCGCAATACTTGGTGACCGGCTACCGTTTGAACTGAAGCCATCTCGGCAGATGAAGCATCCGTGAGAGCCACATGACGTCACGCCATAGCACATATGATAGCTTACGGCGTCAGGGACGGGGCTGTTTATCCGCGTCTCCGTGGCCCTGGCTTCCCAAGCAGGAGAGCCAAGGCCAGGAAACCGGCGCGCTCGCAATGATCTGTAGAGTTGCTCCCCAAAGCCGCGAGCTCCGATTTCGAAGCACTGGGATCCTGAACGCTTTCTGAAGCTGAAGATCCGGCCTGCCGGTGCACAGGCCTTGGCCAAAGCTGCCGGGCCTGGGCCAAGCCGAAGGTGGGGGTCCTCTTTCGGTTGCGAGTTTTCCGAAGCTTTCTGGTAGTTGGTGGTCTGCGTTCTCTTTGGCGATGCCTGACCAAAGCCCCAAGGATGTGACAAGAGTACCAAACTGCTCCTGCGCAGATCCCGATCCTCGGAAAGGAACAAAGGCCCCGAAGTCTTTGTGAACGGTCTGGTCTGGAAGCTCACAGGCTTGTCCGAGCCGTCTCGCTCATCTACCAGGGCCAGGCTCGACCCGGGGAATCCGGGTGCGATTACAGCTCAAGCAGTCAGCAACTCAAACCGAATCCACGTGAAAAGCTTTGTCCACATCCACGAGTCCAGGCGTCGAGCTGCCCCCCTTCCCTCTAAATCTCCACGCCAACCCTGCCGCCCTCTTCACCTTTTCTTAGCTTCCCGAAGACGGCCAGGCCGAAGGCCAGGGCTCGGATGGCGACTGAGGCCCCGATGGTCCGTTCTGCATTTTTATTCTTTGGTTAGGGCTGTCCTTTCGTCGGGGGTCGTGGCCTATCTTTGGGTTCTGGTACTCTTTGTTTGTGCTTTTGGAGCTTCCGTTCGTGTTCTGAGTTTCGATGGAATCGTCGGTCCTGTTTTCAGGTTCCGGAGGGCTGAGAGGGCTGAGGTTGAGGATTGATGACGGCTGGGGTGCGTGGATTTAGGGGTTCGTAGAGCATGCTTGAAAGCGCAGGGAAGCACTGCTCAACGTATTCGGGAATCCCTCAACCCGAGGCCGGTCGCAGGGAGCGACAGCAGACAAGAGACAAAAGCATTCATCCACTGCAGATCTGATTAGATGAAGGCAGAAAGTTGCACGTCACGAGTGCCAATGCCAACAAGATTTTAGCACTACCGTATACACACAGAGGAGCTGCTTTCAAGCAGCATGTCCGCTCGCCAGGTTCGGGAGGAGCTGGAAAGAGTGTCTGCAGAAACATTCTGCGACATCGTCGAGAGCCTTCGAGGCTGGCAGCCGAGCATGGGCGCCTTGCAGTGTACTGTGTGGGGCTGCTGCGGCTACCTGGAGCAGCGCTGTGTGCAAGGCAACGGTATCACAGAGGAGGAACTCCAGGCCGGAGCAGATCGGCACAGCAATCGGTCTTCGGTCTGAGTCTGTGACCTCAACCTGAAGCAGTGTAACACGGAGCCCAGGCGCTTTTGCGAGAAGTTCCCACCGACGGCAGGACACTCAGTGAGCTCTTGAAGTCTTGCCAACGAGCATTCAGACTTCACGGAGACGCGGAAACCAGGCCGAGAGCTCCAAACCTCGCCAAGACCTCCATTTCTAGAGCTTGTTGACCCTGACCTCGGTGCGTGTCAGCAGCGCCGAGGCCAAGGCCTGCTGAGCTGCCGGCAGCTCGTCCGGCAGCTCGTCCTCCGCCTTCAGAGTCGCCACACTCGCGATCCAGCGCGCGTGGGCACGGGCCCGCTGAGCCGGGCCTTCGGGCGCTGCTTCCCGGGTCGCCCCAGCGAGCCTGGAGAGGCCGATAGTGCAGTGAGCAGTTCCGAGAAGCTTTTGTGTTCCAAGGAAGTTCAGTTTGACTACTTGGTGCAATTGGAACCCGTTGTGAGGGTTGGCATCACCCAGCCAGTCCCTGTAGTAAGCAGGGGGGCCACAGGCACAGGTAGCGCCGACAGTTTCCCAGATGAGCCAGATAGATGCAACGGATTTTTTCTTTTTTCCATTGCCTAAAAGCAGTCGAAGACGGTAAGTTCCCCACAAGCCTGCCGAGACTCTCTATGTTTGTCCATCCGCATGTGGTCATTCAACATCCTTCATGATACACATTTTAGAGATTGAGGAACCATGCACCGCAAAGGAGCTGCTAAGAAGCGTCCTCCATGCCAGGTTGACCAGGTTGTTGCCGATGAGACACTTCAGGCCGGGGTAACAAAAGGCACGTCTTCGAAACATTAAAGCATGTCCAAGCCAGGGAGTTCTGCCACAAGTACCTGCCGATCGCGGGTCACCCAGTCTGTCCACCCACGATCCTGGATCTGGCTGTTGCCGAAAGGTCTTGAATGCCTCTGACAGTTCATTGAAGACTTTCGGGAATTCGGCACAGCCAAAAGCTGCAACCCTCTCTCAATCAGCACACTGACAAAATCACCCCGAGCATGGGCAGCCTGCCGAGGCGAGGGCCAGGTGAGCTTCAGGGACCTCGAGGGCTCCCTGCCGAATCGCGCGCATCAGGAGGACCCGGGGCCCAGAGCACAGTGCCGAGTCTCGGAAGATCTGGGGGCTCTGAACCCACAGGACGAAAACGAGAAGCCGACGGAGACCAGCAGGCAAGCGAGACGCCTGGGGAAATCTGCTGCCCTGCACTTCCGCGGACCACTGAGGAGAGGCTCATGTGATCACTCGGATCCAGGCACCTCACAATCAACAGAGGCTCCGGGCCCCTCAAGTGCACAAGAGTACACTGGGCTTGGAAACGCAGGCAAAGGAGTACGACTTAGCTGACAAGAGCAAGCTGGCAGACTTCCTCGAAGATGCGGACATCCAGCTGGTGCCGCGGGCTCGAGGGTGGGCCAAGCAAGCACCAAACGGGTGGCGTCTGCAGCATTCTGCAGCTATGTCTAGGCCGCAGTAGTGCTGGGATGGCCTGGTGTACCATTTCCGCAAGTTGGACATGCTTCGGAATCATGGCAGAGTTTTGAGGATAAGAGAAAAAATAAGCGGGCGTGGAGTGTCTCACGATCCTGGTGTCTGTTTGGCCGAGCCGAGGAGCTGATGCCATTGTTCTTTCCTGTCTGTCTCCTGCCAGGGCGGCCCGGGCATACGGAGGATCTCCAAGGATGCTCTCCGCATCATCGTCAGGAACCTCAAAGGCCGGAAGCAGAGCTGCCGGTAGCCGCCAGAGACTTTCCGTCGCAGCTGTATAGCTGTACGCCTGCCTATGCTAATTACCAGTGCATGCAGCCGATAGTGCAGCATGCATCAGGCGACCGTTTCACCGTGGACATGCTCCAGGCAGAGACTGTTTGTGTGGCCAGTTGCGCTTCTACCCATGACCCCGGGCGCCAGGGCATCCTGCAAGAGGTTGATCCCGATGGCCGCTCAGCCGTAAGAGCACCTTCAGAGTCAGAACCGCTGTGTCCTTTGTGATTTCGGAAAGCGGAGGCGAGGGGCTGCTGAGCTGCGAGGAGTTGGCACGCTGCCTCCGCCGTCCGGCTCCGGCTCCAGAGCCGCAAGAGGCCGGGGGCGTGAGGATGAGCGGGTTCGTGCAACTTTTCCCAATGCGACGTCGCGCAACGCCTGCGCCAGTCCAAGCGCTTCGACCTGGCGCAGAAGCAGGGGCTCGCGGACTTCCTGAAAGAGGCGGACATCCGCTTGGTCCACACCCCGGGCTGCAGTGTTGAAGTCTGCAAATTTTCTGCAGCCATCAGCCATCCGATAATGTTTCCTGTTGTGTGTGAAAATTCTGCATGTGACGGATCATGCCTCTGACAGTTTTGCTATGTGAAGCAATGAAGCGTCCTGCCTAGGTGCGAGCCCACTTCATTTGGAAGCTGCACCGGGAAGGGCAGCGTCTCCCGCGGCGCCAGGAAGCGGAGTCCGCCTACGTCGAAAGCCACACGGCACTTGTCACGCACGAGGAGGTCCCACTGCAACCTGCACTCCCCTCAGTTATCCCGTTGATTGTCAACGTTTGGAGGTCCAAGCCTGGGCCGATGGCAAGGCGCCTGAAGGCACACAGATAGTCTCGCTATCCCACTGCTGGGAGTCGAGGGAACACTGTGACCCCTACGGATACCAGGTTGCCAGGCTAGCCAAGGCTCTTACGGGAAAGGAATGGCTGTTCATCGATTATGTATCCTTGTATCAGTTCCAGCGACTCTCCCAGAAGCAGAATGTCAGCTTCGGGCGTGCGATGCAGCACATGCACGTGCTGTACTGCCACGAGAAATCAAGTACGCTCCGAATCGAGTCTTTGACACCGGAAGCGGACATTGCAGCAGCCGAGCGAAAGCAAGAATGCCTGATGATGTATCACCACCCCACCGGCCTGGTGAAACCAGTGCCGGTCACTGAATTGGTCAAGAACCGAACGCCGTACAAGCAGCGTGGGTGGTGTGCCGCTGAGAGGGAGTGGTCTAGTACTCGAACGGACACCAACCTTTCGCGTGAAGTAGATGCCCCGGAAGGCGAGAAGGGGGGAATCGCCCCGATGGTGCCAGAGGCATTTCGACAGAGCGTCGCCAACCAACTTAAATTCACGCATGTAGATGATGTAGAGACCGTCTGCAGATTGCAAGCGGAAGTGTACAAAGAGAAGGCAGAGATGTGCAAGAGCTTACGGCTCGTAGATTTGGGCGCGGAAGCCCTCGACATCGCCCTGTCGGGCCTCGAGCGCTACCCGGTGCTGGAGCGCCTCGACCGCAAAGCACTGCGTTAGGAGAAGCTTGAACTTTAGCGGCCTCCCGACTAGACCGCCGTCACTTTCAGGAGCCTGGAGATCGTCCACTGCGAGCTCCGCCCCAAGCTCCCGCTACTGCTGAAGGCCGGTGTTTCCTTTGTGCATTTTCGGAGCGTTTCAGGCAGAAGCCAGGCGCAGCCCAACCACTTCTGAGCAGGTCCTGAAGGAGAACAAGCTCCCACAGCTCCACCTGCAGCACAACGAGCTCTTTGAGGAGGGCACGCTCCAGGTCGTTGAGGCCCGAGGCTAGTTGCAGTTACAGTTGCCGATGCACACACATTGAGCGGCACGTTAAAATGCATTATGGCAGGTAAAGGCTTTTGGGTGTGTGTCTGTGTGCATACTGCGGCGCAGCGATGCGCTCCAGGCCTTGGCTTTGCAGCTTGCGGCACTGAGCGTTGGCCACGACCGCATGGGCGTCGCTGGTGTCAAGGCTTTGGCAGAGGCCTTCGATCTCTCAGATGAGCATGATCTGGAATTCAGACCTTCGAGATGCAATTGCCCGCCCCAATCGTTTCCTTCACCGCCTTTCAAGGCTTCCTCCCAAAAGGAAGAGCGGCGGTAGGAGCATAGCACCGATTGGCGAGCGCACTGCAAAGAGCTTCGGCATGCTCCGGCTCCACAATAGCCAGATGCTTCCGCGCACTCCTTGCTCTGTCAATGTGTGCAGGCAGTCAAGCAGAATCACACCCTGAAGCAGCTGAGCCTTGCGGGAGCCAAACTCGAAACTGCGGAGCCCCTTCTCGAGGCTGGCGGCTTCTGTTGCAAGTAGGCTCACCGAGACCGCCACCCCACGGCATCTGAAGCTGGAGCACTGCCCGGCTCACAGGCGCTCCTGGCGAGCCAGCTCCAGCTCCAGCTCGATCTGACGGACAGCGATTTGGGCAACAGGGTCGACGTGGCATTGGCCAGGGCCCTCCGGACCGGCCAGGCGGGGCAACGAGAGCTCCTGACGTTTCTTGCTCCCTCTCTTTCTCTCACATCTTCGCATCTTCTGCGACTGTCGCTGTCCGCAGGTGAAGGGCACCGTCACCCACCCAGCCATGGAGTTCCTGTGCATGTTGGAGGCTGGCGCGTTAAGTTCTTCACCCCTTCGGGCCCGAACTGACCGAGGGAAGTCGACGGCAGGGCTCTTGGGGGTAAAGTGTCTTCCAAACAATCCAAAGAAGCCTGGAAACCGGAAGCCAAACAGACCACCCCCGGTGCGACCTTCCAACCATCCCTTTGCTCGGCACGCCCGCTCGTTTCCCTGCGCGTCACGGGCGCTCTTCGGGCAGTGCAGCCACGGCCGCCGCCACCTGCAGGACGAAGAATTCAAAGAGCTCGAGGAAGCGCCGCAGAAGCTGGAGCTCGATCTCAGCGACTTCGGTCGGCGGCTCAGCTCCGGAGCCAAGGCACCGCCCAGGCGCCCGCGTGCGCTGCCTTCCGAGGCGGAGGGCGCGGAGCCGAGAGGTTCCGGCGGCTCTTCGGACCGCTCTGCCGGGCGCTGCCGTGCCTCCCGGAAGCGCTCCGAGAGCTGGTGCTCGACCTCCGCGGCCACGGCGACGCCTTCGGCCCCGGCCTCGGCGCGTTTCGCAGAGCTCCTCTCCTCTTCTTTCCGCCTTCGGCAGGCGCTGCCGGGGCCCGGGCCCTGGCCGCGGGGGTCCGGCACGAAAAGGAGCTGCAGACGCTGACGTTGTGGCTGGGTGGCAACTCCGTGGGCCGGGGGCCTCAGCTTTCGCTCCTCCGTCGTCCTTTTTTGTTTTGTAGCTCTTGTCGGTGGGTCCGCCTGGTAGGGTCCGCAAGCCGACCCCAGCCATTTCTCCAGCTTTGTACTATCAAACTGCATCCGAATCCAGCTCTCCATGAAGTCCCAAGCCCAGCTCATCCCAGCCTGACTCGACTCTCCGCGATTTGCAGCAGAGTCTTGGATTCCCGCAGCGGCTCCCGTGAGATGTCGTCCGAAAACCCTTCTGCCGAGATGCCCGTGCCCGTCCCCTTTCGGGAAGGCCGCAATTTGCCTCGCGACTTGTTGCAGCTGACGGGGGCGCGCCCCCGGGCACCGAGGCGACCAGGGCACAGAGGCCTTGGCCTCCGCCCTCCGCGAGCTGACGCAGTTGAAGACGCTCGTGTTGTGGCTGCACGAGAACAAGATCGGCCCGGGGCCTCGAAGAAGTCGAAGCCACGTTGCCGCTTTACCCGGAGGGCCGATATCGGGAGATACCGTACATCCCTTCTTGGAGTTTGATCTTCATCCAAGCCTTGCATCCCTCATCCCTTCTTGGAGTTTGATCTTCGTCCAAGCCTTGCATCCCTGATTCTCGGCGCAGCCCAGCCCCCCCCCCCCCCCACGCCGAAGTCAGAATAACCGGGCTTCTGCCGATGTCCAACACTCCCAAATCTCTCTACCCGCAGATTCTACCCGTGAAGTGGCGGGCCCCGCCTCTCCGGCCCGAGGCCCAGTCGGCGCCGCGGCCGTGGCCGAGAGCCTTCGAGCGCTGCGGCAACTCAAAAAGCTCAGCATTGATCTTCAGAACAACGCGGTCGGCCCGGGCCTCGTGCGGTGGCTGGGCTGGAGATGAAGTGGCCTTGGGCCTTGGGGTCATCCTGCTGGCCTGCATTTCGCACAAACCACGCCCCAACCTACACTGCCCGAAGTCTGAGGAGCCGGGTTTCTGCCGATGTCTACACTCGCAGATTCTTAGCTGGCCCCTGTCTCCCGGCCGAGGCGATGCCGGCGCCACCTTTGTGGTGGAGAGCCTGTCTGAGCTGCAGCAGCTCACAGACTTCACAGTTTTTCTGCAAGTCATCCGGCTCTTTGTGGTGGAAAGCAACCGGCTCAGTCCGGGCCTCGGGCGAGATGAAGCGGCATCTTCGTCCTTGCCACTCGCAAACCCCACCGGCCCAGGCGAGGAGGTGCGGCAGAAGCTCTGGGCCCGCTTGGAAGCACTGCCGGCGGCCAGGAAGAGGATCGAGCTTTGATCCGAGGCGCGGCCGGGGCCGTGTGGTCGTGTCTGAGAGAAAGTTCGGGGATCTTCGACTCTCCTGGCTGGGAGGCCTTGGCCTCGGCGCGCTGGCGGTGGGTGGCCTTTCTCCGGAGCGCTTCGATTCTGCTGCCTGCTGCCGAAAAAGCAGAGGTCGCTGCGCGCCGTGCTGGAGTCCGAGCATTCAAACTTGTCTCCCTAGCATCGCAGTCTTGCTTCGGAGTTGGTCTTGGGTCTTCGCCGGTTTGGGACCCTTGAGCCATTCGGTGTCTTGCATCCGAAGCTGAAGAGACGCTCCGCCGAACCTGCCTTGCATTCTCATGGTCTCGTGCGGCTCAAGTGCTGTCACACGGCATCTAAACCAGCCCTACAAGGCTCAGAAAGTCGATCGTTTGAACGTCTGTGCACGATCCAGTTGAGCCCAGGAGGAGCTTCTGTTAGACACCTATGTTATGTTCAAGAGGGACCCTCAAGCCCCGAGCAAGTCACTCACATGCGAATCCCCAAACTTCGTGCTGCTCGAACTCCCAACTGGATGGCTTAGTGCTTGATGCGATGTCCAAGCGAATTGAATCAAAGAGCTGGTGCAGAAATCTGGAAGTCAAATCGTGACATGCTGTACCAATCCCCAACCCAAAAGCTATCATCGGGGGTGCCCTGGACATTGCATTGTTCTTGCCAGCGTATGGGCTGCGGAGCGAGCAGCCAGAGCAAGTATGCCGGGCACTGTGGGGGCCAAACGGGTTGAGCATCTGACAGGTCCCTGGAAGTGCTGAACACTCATGTCTGATTCTTGCCTAGGGCCTAAGATCGGGAAGTTGGTGTTGACTTTTCTGAGCGCACAACCCCCTATTTTCTAGCACTTCTTGATCCCTGCTCCGACATCTGAAGCTTACTTCGTTGGGATGGCAATCGGTAAGAAATGCAAGAAGCTGCGGCTTAATGCAGAAAGCTTGGGTTGCAGTGGCTGCAAGGCTAGGCTGTTGACGCATACAGCTTCTTTTGGGTTTTATCGAGGCGGGACTTTCGGGTTCAGGGTGTGAGGGGCTGAGGGCATTGGGGAGTTTCAGTGGAGTTTCGCAGCCGTGCGCCCGTGTGCCGCAGACAAACTCGTTTTCCGCCCAAAATTAGCGATTCAGATCACCTTTTCTGGTGATCCCACTTCTCTCCGTCAGTTCCCTGCCGCGCCTCTCGGCTTATGTTGTTTTTGATTGAGCGAGGGTCTTTAGAACACCCTTAGAAGTTGGAAGCTCTCGCATGCGCACTGCTCAGCCATAACATTCCAGGTGTCGGCATGTCTGTCAGCGAGTTCGGAACAAGGAATTTCACAGTTTTTAAACACGCCTAGTTCCGAACTGTCGTTTTTAGCCGCGTCTTTTGCATTCCTGCACCCGTAACACCAGTCGTGCTGTGTCATCCCCAAAGGCAGAGAGGCCCTGAAGCCGAAAAGCCACAAGCCGCTCCGCTCGCTTTCTGTTCTCCAGCACTCGCCAACCTAAGCCGCCAGCCCCATCAAGACCCAGAGGCCCGAAGCCGTAGAATCCGTGAGCACCTAAATCCGCAAGAGTTCTCGTGCACCCTACCGGTCCCGGCAAGACACAAAAAACCGATGTCTCCCAGGCCATGAGTGCCGCAGAAGTTGCCGTGCTTGAGGGGAGCGAGCCGATCCTTCGTCTGGATTCAGGGCGTCTAGTACCGGTCTTCAATCCCAAGTCAAAGGCTTTTCATCGAATACCTCATCGAACATTTTGATTAAGCAAAGTAGGCGAGCTGTAGTTAAAATAGTGGCAGTAACCCTAAGCACTGGCGATAGCTTGTCTGCCGCGGTCCAAGAGACTCTGGGGCACAGTGACAAATTCCTGATCCGATTTTCCGCTAGAGATGTTCCGCTGGGCAACGCTCAGCTCGAGACCTCGAGTAGCGTACGGAAGTAGCACCAGTCTAGTTGAAGCATCCAGCAGGACCCTGCAGCCCACCGAGGTCTATGGCAAGGGTCGCCAGTCCCACCTCGGTGGCCGGGGCGGCCTGCGCCGGTGACAAGGTGGGCTTCTGATTTGTTTGGCACATGTACGAGTTTGGGAAACTCCGGTATTTCTGTTCTTATTTTGGCTGGTTAGGCACAGTAGGGCTGTTGCTTTACAGAGCTTGGGACAGAGAGAGACCAGACTCAGACTTGACGAGGGTTCACTGCCTTGTGTGGCTTCGACTTGAAGGGATGTGGCAATCAGAGCTTATGGCTTAGACAGGGCAAACCTTGGCTTTGATGGCCTTTGCAAGACTGTTAGGACCGGATGGTTTGGTTGTTCAGATGTACGTTTCGGAAAGGTCAAAGGGTGCAGACCTCTTGGAGCTCTTCGGGTGTTCATGCTCTGAGGTTTGTCGAAGGCGTTCCTCGGCGATCTGCATTGAGAAGTTGAGTCAGGAAGGCTGGAAAAGACGTAGTTCCGGTCAGCTCTAATACATCAGCGGGACAAAAGTTTCGACGTATGGATGACAACTGTTGAGTTCACCATGTATATGTGGCGCGGAGAAGCGGAGTGGCCGCAGGTCCGTTTTACATGGCCAGCGTGGCGGAGCAGTGAAGCTCCTGAATAAAATTAGTATACTACTATATAGTTCTCGACGGAGAGCCTGTGAGATCTTGTGTGAGGAGTACAAAAACAGGGGGCTCCAGTGCCTTATGTTGAGTTAAAGCCCGTGTGGCGAACTTTTGTCCTGCGGTAGTATGGTGTCAGATGCCGAGAGCCCATGAAGCAAGTTTTACCACGCAGGTCGTGCAGGGCGCTGTGACAACCACACGCCGCACGATGAAGATCGCAGGTGGGCTGTACGCAGAGCGCCAGAGGTGTGGTTCTTCTGTGGGTATGAGTAAGAGCACATGGACCGGGTAAGCCAGGAACTCTGCGACCCTCAAATGCCCTGGACGGTATACTGGTAACCCCAATTCCAACCAGCAGGCATGCAGTAACTTAGTATGCTTCCCGTTCAGACCCTCAATTGATGGGCTTGAGCAATAGTTGTCCGATCCTTTTATGCGGACTACACAAGACCAAGAACTGGGAGAAGCTCCGCCAGCCAAAGAAGCAGATGTTACATGAAGGAGTGTTGCCGGAAACCGAACTCCTAACGGGGTCATTCCGCCTGTCGCACATGGTCGTACTGAGAAGAGGCAACATAGCATTATTCCATGCCATAGGGTTCCTTCTTAAAGTCTACTTTAACCATCACCCCAACAAAACCGTGTTCCAAACATTAAGGCCCCTAGCAGTAATGTATCATTACGTAACAAGTAGTTGTAGCTGTACTACAATGTATCCCACATCCCCATTCTAAACATGATGGCCCCTGGCGTAACGTTCTGTGCTTTGTCAGGTCTGGCCCATAACTGAAACCCCAAACCCTAAACCCTAACCCTAAACCTACATTGATTTTCTGTGCCTTTGTCAGGTCTTGCCCTCTTCGCTCTGGCCTTTGCCTTCGCATTCTTCGGCCCCTCGGTTAAAGAGTTCGACTTCCTTCGAGGGTTTGTTGGATAAATTTCGGGTTTCTTGGTTGCGTTTAGGGCTGCTTCGGTTTAGGCTTTCCCTTGAGAAACTTTGGGCAGGTTTCGGTTTCTTAGTTACGTTTGTGGCTACTTGGGCTTTGGTTGATGGGGTCGATCGTCTTTGAGGTTCTCAGCCCAGCACAGTGGCGACTAATTAGGCTCTTGGAAAGGGCCTCAGCAGAAGAGAAGGTAGCCCTAAAATCTAACTTTTGGGGTGCTAATCCAGGACGTAAGGGACACATCTCTATGCCTTGATGGTACTGCATGACTTGGTTTCGAGTTTGCGGATTCTGCATGTGACATGTTCAATCTGGCCCACGGAGTTCTCAGTTGTGACCAAAGTCAGAGGGCAAAGTTCACCTGAAGCAAATCTCGAGCCCTTACTTCAGAACATTCCGGTAAAAACGATGCGAATTGTCGTAGCTCTAGGAACAAATCTTTCCGACGGCGATTGGTGAAAGATTGCGCTCTGCTTATTGATCGTCGGGGGCTACGCTCTGCTCATTGATCGTCGTGGGCTATGCCCACCCGTCTTGTCTTCGCCCGTCGTTCAGAGCTACTCGACTGTGAACCTGAACATGAAATCAGCATACTTGGAACAGCCTAATCCAAAAGGCTTCAATCCTGTTCCTCATCAGTGTTGGTCAATAGGCTTTATGATATAGGCCCTGAACCCTGCACCCGAAACCCTAAACCCCAAACCCTTCAGGTGGGTCCTTGCCGGGGGGTTTACAGGGTTTTGGGATCCCCTCCCAGGTTGGCCCACGAACCTCTTGGAGGATGCAGCCACGCACCGGAGGCACGCAGGATACTTTGGGTTGATGGGATCCGGGGTATGAAGGTTTGTAGACCTCATTGGGTTATTTCTCGGCCTTCAGAGGGGGTGTAGACACCACCCTAGGGTTTTAGTGGTATGCATGTCTAGGTGTTGTGTCAGACAGTCGTGGAGTCGCGCAGGCGCAAAGATGTTAACCTCGCCCAACGCCTCCCAGCACTCGCCCAAGTCCTGAGGGTCCTAGCAGCACTCTTCATCACCGGCATCACGCTCGTGGCGCTGGAGGACTGTTAAACTCTCGATCAGTCTGTGGGTGATGGTGGGTGTACCGGGGCCTGGTCAGGTTGTGCATATTGTTTGCTTGCAAAGTTGTTGCAGGTGTGCTAGGGTCCCTGGGTCCTGCATATAGTCCGCCCGAGCGTCAGGTTTTGCAGGAGAAGAACGTTTTGGGCTTAGGATTGTACCTTCGATAGCACGGTTGCTGACGTAATGTATCTCAAAAATCAACCTTCTGGGACACGGCATGTTTGCAAGATGCAGAAACAAGCAAGCAGAGTTTCAGACAAACCATGTCAATGTCAGAATCTTGTTTTTCATCCAGCGAAGGAAAAGCTCCGTCAAGTAACACTGTATCACATAGCGACCGAGCAGTGCAGTACGATGGAACAGGACTCACTGA